GGCAGGTAGATGGGTGCTTACTGTTGTAATTTCCCTATTTTCCTATGTCTGAGGACATATAAAGCGATCTTATAATCACTGACAGCCAGGTGGCAGTTGTGATGAAGTTGCATTGCCTTAGAAAACCTTTAACCAGAGGGGCACCTGGGTGGCTCAGTCGGTTGGGTGTCTGACTTCAGCTCAGGTCATTATCTCACAGTTCTGTGCTGACAGCTCAGAGAGTCTGCTTTGGATTTTGTGTGTCTCTCTCTTTGGATTCATTCTGTCTCTGCCCCTCCCTCACTTGTGCTCTGTCTCTCAAAAATAAATAAATGTAAAAAAAAAAATGTTTTTAAAGAAAACCTTTAACCAGAGGCATGCCACTCTTGATCTTAGGGTCGTGAGTTCAAGCCCCACACTGGGCACGGAACCTACTTAAAAAAGAGGAGAAAAGAAAACTTTTAACCAAATTTCTTTCATTTATGTTTACCTTTTTATGTATGAACAAGAGTGATATGGGACAAAAATATGTCTTAGTCTGAAGAACCAACCTCTTTCACTATACATAAAATCAAAATTTAAGTAATGAAAACAATGGCTAAATTTCAGAGAAAACCACTTGGCTGGAACAGTTAGCATGTAAGTGGATAACCCTCTTTCCTGTATTGCTTGGTATGAGGACTTACCTTCCTGCTTCGTCATTCCTTGATTTCAAAGGAGCCACCAAATTCTTCCCCTTTCCAGATTCATCATGAACAAAAGTAGGACTGCCTTCAACTTTAAATGAAAACTAACTATAGTTTTAGATGTCTGTTTTTAAGACTGAGCTTGATGTTGAACAGAGGGTAAACACTATCTTGCTTCAAGTTGATTCAAGTGCTTCTTGAAGATTTAAATTTCTTCTTTTTCCTGAAACTTTTTTATCCCCATTTCTCAAAAGCAATGGGTTTAACTTTGTAGAACACTTTGCAGGGTTCCAAGCACTTACATGTACAGTTGCTCATTCAATTCCAACAGGCTCAAATTAGTGACTTGCCCAATGTCATAAAATTGCTAAGTAGCCGAACTAGGTCTGAAATCTGGGTCTGTCTGGCTTTAAGCCCAGTACTCTTTCCGCTACAAGCCGCTGAATATCTACTGGATTGACATTGAATGTTGGTAATAGCAGAAATAGACCGTTAGGGTAACCCACTGTAATTACACAGGTTATTTTGGGTTTTCCTAAATTCACAGTCCTGAGTACCCAGCCAGTCAAGCTAAAAAGGGAGTTTCTA